AATGATCAGCAAGCTGAGCTCAAGCTTTCTGAACATGGAGAACACATTGCAGCGAGCGCCAACATGGTCACTCGTGACTTCATCGGATTTCTGCTGTTCCACCTCATCTCGGTGCCTTTCTTGGTAGGCCAATCTCTAACCCTGATGATCAAGCATGATGCTCATGATTCCAGCTCATCCGCCCTGAAAATTCGAAGCCCTATGTCATCACTGCGAACGTGATCGTCCTCATCGTTATGCTGGCTATCACCATCTGGGCCGGCGTAAACGGTGGGACTGGACCCCTTTTCGCATCGGGCGCTCGCCAGCCTGGCGTTCTCTCCACCGGCTGGGCCTGGGTCTATGGTATTATCAGCAATCTTGGCGTCATCTCTGCCGGCATCGTCAACCAAAGCGATTTCACCCGCTTCGCCCGCCGACAGGGCCTTCAAGTTCCCGGCATGGCCTTTTCCCTGCTGGTTCCGGGAATGATTGTCCCCATATTTGCCATCATCACGGCCTCGGCGTCCATGTCCATTTGGGGGCTCGAGGAACCTTTCTGGAACCCACTCTCAGTCATCCTGCAATGGCTCATCGACGACTACTCGCCCGGCGCCCGTGCCGCAGCGTTCTTCTGTTCGCTGGGCTTCGTGATCGGTCAGATCGCCGAGAACATCATGGGTAACTCGTTCGCTGCGGGTATGGATCTCGCCGGCCTCTTCCCCAAGTTCCTGACCATCAAGCGCGGTGCCCTCCTAAGCGCGCTGCTGTCCTGGGCCGTGCAGCCCTGGGAGTTCTACAACACGGCCTCCGTCTTCGTCGCCGTTGCAGCTTCTTTTTCCGTCTTTCTTGGACCCCTGACGGGCATCATGATCGTCGACTACTTCGTCGTTCGCCGGCAGCGCGTCGAGCTCAGCCAGCTCTACACAGGCTCAAGCGACGGAAGTTATTGGTACACATGGGGCATTCACTGGCGTGCGCTCGCCGCGTGGGTCATCTGCTTTGTGCCTGCCATGCCGGGCATGGTAGCCAACGTCAACCCGAGCGTCACCGTGTCGGATGGCCTGCAAAAGTACTTCCTCGGCAACTATCTTTTCGGGTTCGCCGAAGCTGCTGTGCTGTACACGGTGCTGTGTCTCATATCGAAGCCGAAGAATGCGGGCATGCAGGACAGTGTTGACATGTATGGCACGTTTGACGAGAACCAGGCGAGGGTCAAGGGTGTGGTGCCTTTTGAGCGAGTGAAGGATGCGGATATCCCTGGCGAGGAACCAGCGAGAGAAATTGTTGAGGATCAGAAGAAGATGCGGAACTTGAGGGAGTGATACGATGAGTCTATTTGGGTGAACGGAATGACCGCATCGTGCCTGAAAAGGGACGACTTGGAAGTGCTCTGGATTGCACATCTGGCGTTACGTCCGTGCCATACCAACAGGCGCATATCCAAATGCTACCTTTACCAAATCTCGAGCCGAGCGTCTCCAATTTAGTCTTCAACCAGCTGATGTGCTACCTCGCTCACCGCCAGTGACACTATGGCTAGGTGCAGGGTGGAGGTACGTAAATGAAAGGGGCGAGTACACCTCCGTGGAACACTGCATGCTTATGCGCTTAAGACGGCCCCAGCAACAGCCTACACCATGTGTCCGATACCTCTGACATCACAAGCTATCAGCAAAACGATAGCCAGCACGAGCTTATCAGATCTGATGCCTGTCGTTGACGTGCAGGACAGAACCTGATAGCGAGTCAGAGTCAAATGCTGATAGGTGATCGCGTGCATGCGACACTAAGGCATGGGCGGTAGTGGGGGTTCCCGTGGACCCCTTTTTAGGTGCTGGGCATCGCCGTCCATAGTGGAAGTGCAGGTAGGGAACCACTGAGACCGCTGGAAGATGCCGCTGTGGAAGGTCGAGACGAGGGAGGGGGGGAGGCACCAATGCGGGGCAGGCTCGACCTTCCCCCGCGTGTTTTCACTACCAACATTTGGCACGCCCTGAGATGCAACCAGGGCGCGCTCGGAGACGGATGGTGCCCCTCAATGGGACTTGCCCTGGCCGACGTGACCTGATCTGATGCCATGTTGCCTCGGCCGAGCTGAAAGCAAGACTTTCTGACCGTCAACGTGTTCACCTGCCTCGTGCTCTTCCCTTGCCAACTTCAACTTCTCCCTTCTCCTCCTTCAAGCCTCACCAAATCGTCATCGAGACAGACCTCCGCCCGACGTTCCCCCTCTTCGTCTAGCATCACCCCGACGTCCATCACCAGAACAGCCATCACAGCCACCATGTCGGTTGACAACCCCCCCTCGGCCCTCTTCGTCAATGGCCGCATCCTCGCCAGGTCATCCCCTGGTCTCACCGGCGAGCCCGTCTTCGCCGACAGCATGCTTGTGCAGGATGGCCTCATCAGAGCCATAGGCACGCGTGAGGAGGTAGCGGCCATTTCAGAGCGCCTCCGACGTGACGACCACCGACCTCGCCCAACAAACTATCCTCCCCAGTTTCGTCGATGGCCACATGCATCTACTCCTCCTTGGCCAGTCTCTGCGCAAAGTTTCACTTGATCACTGCAAGTCTTTCGAAGACATCCGCATCGCCATCAAGACCTATGCCGAGGCGAATCCTGAGGTTCCTCGTATACTCTGCAAGGGCTGGATGCACTCAATGACCCCGGAAGGCACTGATGCCTCCATGCTCGACGACATTGACCCGCGCCCCATCTTCATCGACACCAAGGACTTGCACTCCACATGGTGCAACAGCGCAGGCCTCGAAGAGCTTGGTGTTGCCAACATGCCCGATCCCGCCGGCGGCACCATCCATCGCGATGCCAACGGCAAGCCCAACGGTGTGCTCAGCGAAGGTGCCGTCCTGTCCATCGTCTGGCCTCACCAAGCCAAAGTCTCCCCCATGGCCGAGCGTCAGGAGGCCATTCTTGCTGCAGTCGAGACCTACAACGCGTCTGGCTACACCGGCCTTGTCGAGATGGCCATGGACGAGCCGGCCTGGGATGCCCTCGTCGCCCTGCGCGCCGCCAAACCCGACCTCCCTATGCGCATCGCCGCTTACTGGCTTATCAAGCCCTCTGACGATGCCGAGGCCAGACACGCTCAGGTTCGGCGCGCCATTGAGCTGCACAGCCAGCTTAACGCCTCTACCTCCCCAGACCTGCGCATTGCCGGCATCAAGATTGTGTGCGACGGCATCATCGACGCATGCACGGTCTACCTCTCCGAGCCCTATGCACCCGCCGATTCCCCACCGCCGATCTGGGCGCAAGACGACCTTGAGCCCATCGTCGCGCAAGCAGACGCTGCAGGTTTGCAAATTGCTTTGCATGCGATCGGCGACGGTGCCATCAAGATGGCCGTCGACGTTCTCGAAAAGCACACTACGCCTGGTCGTCGTCATCGTATCGAGCATCTTGAGCTTGCATCGCCAGAGGACGCTAAGCGGCTGGGCGACCTCAACTTGACAGCCTCCATCCAGCCTGTCCACGCCGACCCGGCAATCCTGCGGGCATGGCCGCGCCTCATCGGCTCGGAGCGGTGCAAGAGGGCCTTCGCGTATCGAGAGATGGCCGATGCGGGAGCGTTGATGGCCCTGGGAAGTGACAGCCCGACGGCGCCGTGGGCGCCGCTGCAGAACGTGTACGTGGCGTCGACGAGGCGATCAGCAAGGGAGCCCGAGTACGAGGTGACAGGTGAACGAGAACTTCCGACTGTGCGAGGCGATCGTGGCTGGTACAAGGGCGCGCGGCCAGTGTGTTCGCTGAGGAGAGGACCGGAAGCTTGGAGGTGGGAAAGATGGCCGATTTTGTCGTTGTTGACATGGAGTGGAAGGCTGAGAGCCTACTGAAGGCTCAGATGAAAGAGACGTATTTCGGAGGCAGGAGTGTGTGGAAGCTGGAAGCCTAGATTGTGGGCGCTGCCTCTCCGGATGCTGTCGCAACATGGGACGAATTTGGCCATGGAGATGGAGACCCTCATTGCCGTTTCGTCTCAACATCACATCCGAAACAGATGAATGCGATTGGCCATGCCAACATTCACATAATGAAACGATAGACGGAAGAAATGAACAAATACAGCCGGAGTCTCTCGATGCGCTGAGCGGTCCCCTCATGCGCGTCGTGCCTCGGCTTTTCTTAGATTGAGCTCTGGGTTCGGTGAGGTCTCAAATGAGCGTGTTCTGGTGGAGGTTTCGCTGCATCGCTGCAAGGCGGGATCCATCAGCCCAAGCCTAAAGGGGAAGAAGTTGCGGGAAACATCTACCACTGCACAGCTCGCGACGCAAGTAAGGCCAAAGAAGGGCATGCCTGTTCAGTGTCAGTTCTCGCAAGCATGGCTGCAGGGCGAGTTGACGAGCGAGAGAGAGGGGGGAAGCCAGGGGCAACCACGGGGCGGTCTGGCGATACGATGCGCCCTGTAGTTGCCCATCGTCGCTTGATGCAGTGTTGTCAGGGGGGCACCTAAAGAGATAAAAGTCTTCAGAACCCCCGACACTAGATGCCATTATTCTTCAAGTCGGTAGAGAATACGGTCCAGTTTCGGAAGCGACTTGAAGTATCAACCGCCATCTGGAAAACGACCCGGCCAACAATGCGTACGACCTTGACCTCCTGGGCTCTAGCCCTCGCCCTCCCCCAAGCCCTGGCCCAACAAGCCTGCGCGCCGGTCAACATCATCATCGCCCGCGGCTCGACAGAACAGCCTGGCGTCGGCCTCATGGGCGCCATTTCCTCGGCAGCCGCGCAGCAGATCCCCGGCGCAGTCGTCACACCCCTCGACTACCCGGCCCAGCTGAACCCGTACCCGCCCTCCGTCGCCGCCGGCGTCGTCTCCATGACGGACCTCCTGACACAGCAGACCGCCGGCTGTCCGCAGACGAAGCTCGTCGTCATGGGCTACTCGCAGGGCGCCCATGTCGCGCTCGATACGCTGTGCGATCGGAGCCTCAGCGGCTTCACGCCTAGTGCGCGCAGGCCCTCCCGCTGTGGGGGGGAGCAGTGCGTGTCCGATCCCAGTCTCGCGATCTTCAACACGATCGAGATGGTTTCGTTGTATAGTGAAGTGTGCTGACAGCGGTGCAGTTGCAGCGTCATTCTGGGCCGGAGACCCGACTTTCGTGCCGGGCCTGCCCTCGAACCGCGCACGAGTCAAGAGGCAGGTGTAAGTTTTGTCCATTCTCCTTGGCCCTGTGGCTTCTCGAACAAAACAAAATGCTGACTGGCCTCGTGGGCAGATCTTCCAGACGCGCGACATGACGCAGTGCGGCGACGTGCCGGCCAAGACGCTCTCGTTCTGCGACACGAACGACCGCTTCTGCGCCAGCGGCGACAGTATCCCCGTCCATCTGGGCTACTTCAGCAACGCGGCGTACGTGGCCGAGGCGGTGCAGTTTGTTGTTGCGAGTGCTAGGGCCGGGGCTTCGAACTGTACGACGGGGGCTGCGGCGCGGAGGAGGTGGGCTCGGGAGTTGGCGAGGTTGCCGAGGGATTGAGTTGGTGTGTTTGTTGTTATTTGGGTCATGAATGTCTTGTTTCGTGTGAAGCTCCTGTTTTGGTGTTCTGGCTCGGGATGTTCAATCACAAGGGATTTGGGACTTTTGATACTCGGCAGATCCGACACGCACTAGTATGCTGGCGAGAAAGTACGAGACCAATCCATGGCACAGAATCAGAGTGCTTCATGTGTTCTTATACTCTGTGATAAATCAGAGGTTTGCAGAGGAAGATTCTAAGGGGGTTAGTTGTGTCGACTTGTAGACTGGATGAAAGTTGTAAGGGCGTCTTATGAGAGCGACAGTCGGGCTTCTTACACGAATGAGGCTCAAGCAAGATGATCACTGAAGGAGGTCTTCAAGTAGGTTTTTGCCGCCGATTATTCATTTTGAGGGCGCTTGCCCAGGTCTATATGATGGTCCCAACCAGTCTTCCTAAGCACATACGACCATACCTACTGGAGAACTCGGGATCCCGTCCGCTCTCCCATTGATAAGCCAGTAAGGGTCGGACTAGTAGTTGGGTGGGTGACCACCAGCGAATCCCTGATGCTGTATGTTTTTGATATTTTGGGTGTTTTGTTGTTGTATTATAGTGCAGGTGGAGATTTTCGTCGTCAAACGTTTGGACATCAGACTTTCAGCGGGTATTGCTTAGTCATTCTCGTTCAGCGATTGTTTCTCGTTGGTGCAGATGGTCAGGCGGCGTGTAAGCAAACCCATGCAGCGTGAGGTACAGTCGTTTTTACTTCGCTGCCTGACCTGGCCTGCAGGCAAGTACGCAGAAAGGCTGCCCGAAAGTGCACTTTCGGGCGTATTTGCGGCCAATGCGCAAGTCCGAAGTGCAAGATTGCCGGACTTGGGCGCGACCTTGATCCCAACCAGGGCATGAGGCGGCGATGGCGTGGTTGTCACTCAAAGTGCAGTGTGGTTGGTACCTCATGGCGAACCGTACGCCCGAAGAATTCCGCTCGATGCCATATGCATGTTTATACGAAAGACCGCGAATGAGTATTTTGTATCCCGAAGCTATAAAAATGGCATCCCTTCCCGCCCGGCTCGGAACCGTTGGCACCCAAGTGTGAGTCCATCCTCAACGACAACTATACTCGTGCGCGCCTCCCCGCTTCCAAAGTAGGAGTACCCTTTCCCGTTCAGGAAACCAAAACACTTATTGGATGCCAGGATGGTCAGAATAACGTCCAAGGACGGCATCAGCTTCGAAGCTGATCGATCCGTCCTTCTTCGAAGCGAGTGGTTCTCCAAGGCCTACGACGGCAGCTTTAAAGAGGCCGTCACGGATGAGTGGGACTTTTCCAATAACCCCCACGCGACGTACAGTGTGCTCTGCGCCTACATAGAGTACCTGGAGAAGGGCAAGATATCGCAGGGCCAGCGGCTGGCGGCACGGAAGCGCGGGCGGGATTTCGCCGATTACATCTGTGATGCGGGTTTCGCAAAGGCTTTGGGATAACGATGCAGGGAAGTTTCAGTAACGGGGCATCATGATCTGATTCTCACATTCTCTAATGAAAGCAGTCCGTGGAATTCAAGCAGTCATACATAATCATCCAGTAGTGCAAATCAAACGCGTGTCTATGTTCTAGCGTGGTGTATCATTTGTGGCCATCCGTCCCCTATTTCTCCGGCACCTGCAGGATGTCATCGACATTAACGACCTGCCCCGTCGCGATGGAGCGGTTCGCCGCAATGCCCGTCAGGATAGACGCGGCGCCGTCAACGTGACTCGCCGCCCGCATGTATTCGTCCGACACGGGCTCGCCGAAGAGGTCGTTCAGCAGCACCGTGTCGCCACCACCGTGAGCACCAACACTCTCACCGAGCTCAATCTCCTGGGGCTTCTCGAACAGTTTCCGCAGCACGATGGATCTCTTCTCGAGCGAGCCCTCGTCGGCCTGGTCACCGCCAGAGTTGACGTAGCTGTTCTCGACAACCTCCACCTCGAGCCTGCCGCCAGTGCCGTTGAAGTTGACACGGAAGCCCTCCCATGGGGCGTAGGCCGTCAAGGAGTAGGTCAGACTCGCGCCGCTGCGGTACTTGACGAGGACGTTCATCGTGTCCTCGATGCTAATGCCGTCGCCGAACACGCTCTGGTCGCGGTAGTAGGCGTCCTCGTGCTCGGCGTCCAGGTACATGCCCTTCAGGGCCTCACTGTTCTCCAGATGCAGGGCAAAGGGGTCCTTCTTGGCGACGTCGCTGCCGTGTGTGCGTGTGTAGAACTCGGTGACGCCGCGGGCCTCTGCGTTCTCGCGGCCGTAAAAGGCGAGGTCGCCGGTGGCGTAGACGGTCTGGGGACGGGACTGCAGCCAAAAGTTGACGAGATCGAAGTGGTGGGTCGATTTGTGGACGAGGAGGCCGCCGCTGTTGCGCTTGTCGCGGTGCCAGCGGCGGAAGTAGTCGGCGCCGTGGCTCGTGTTGAGCATCCACTCAAAGTGGACGCTCGTCACCTTGCCAATGGCACCCGAGCGGATGATCTCGAAAATCTTGGTGTTGTGCGGGGCGTAACGGTAGTTGGAACGTGACGCGGACGTTTTGCTTGGTGCGCTCGACGGCGGAGAAGATCTCGCGACACCTAGGGGCGTCGATGGTCATGGGCTTCTCGGTGATGACGTTGCAGCCGAGCTCCATCGCTCGCACGATGTACTTGTTGTGGGTGCGGTCCATGGTCGTGACGATGACCTCGTCGGGCTTGGTCTCCTGAATCATCTTATCAAAGTCGGCGGCGAGGAAGGTCGGCACCTCGCCGTGACCGAGAGAGGCGAGCTTGGCGTTTGCATAGTTCATGCGCGTCTGGTTGGTATCGCAGAGGGCAACGATGCAGGATGTTGTGCTGTAGTCCTTGGCGATGGCCGAGTAGAAGAAGCCAGAGCGGCCGCCGGTGCCGACGACGGCGTACTTTTTCCTTCCGTCAGACATGATCTCGACTCGATGGTACGTGGACGGAGGCGATGAAGACTGTTCGGAACTGGTGGGATTGATTGGTGTCGTCTTTCAGTCCGACAGAAGGCCGGCAGGAAGTAGCAGCAGCAGGTTCGCTCAAGTTATTCCTTCCCTCTCTGGTGAAGTGACCAGCTCCTGCAGCGTCAATCCAGGACAGAGCTCGGCCCCCGCCACCGAAACAATGCCATCATGGCCAATGGTCGACAGAGCTAGCAGAAGCCTTCGGCGGGCTTTCTCCCAGCAGCCGAAATCAGGCAGAACCCAGCGAGAAGGTGCAAAACTGCCATGACCCCTCCTTCTCCCTCTTTCCTTCCTCCCCCACAGAGTGGCATCAGGTGGGGTGTCTTTGTGGGCGCTGGGCCCCTTACGAGCTTAGCCTTTCTGCCGCTGTCACAATCGCTGCGGACGCCAGGTCCAGCCAACAAGCCGTTGAAAATGCCCCGACGTAGCACCCACTCAGTGCCAGGCCTTTCCTCTATCGGTCGTCTACTCAGAGAGGATCCTTCACATCTTGAATAACGTTCCCACTCCTCTCGTCCCCTCTTGGACCGAACATTTCTTCTTCGACATGTTTTCCCCAATGACCAGCTGTCTACGTGGTTTAGTCTCGTGGAGTCAATCCTGCGGCTCATTAGCGTCGAGAAGCCATGTCGTTCTTCTACCCCTTCGTCGGAGACAAGCTTGTTACCCCGGCCGCTGCCATGCGTGAGCCGCCAGGCCTGCCGCACTTCCGAGTCCGGGGTTGTGGTACGGCTAAAAGCCAGTGCCGCTGAGGTGCTTGCGCATGCCGTGTGACGTTCTATGGCAGTTGACTCAGGTCAAGCATCGCTGGTAACGTCTCTTTGCGGGGAAGCATGGCAGCGCAAGGCGACGATCTCGACGAGATCGACGGACCATGAGAGAATAAAGACGCTGGATGGGACTGAATAGCGATGGAAAATCAGCAGCAGAAAGAACCGCCTTGAGTGTCAAGGTTGAGGTATCATCCATTTCGCCCGAATTTGCTTTGCTTGCTTTCAAAGACCCGCCAACATGGCTACATCTAACAGCGAAGCGACGCTCAGGGATTCCGTCACACCGACGCCGGCTGGTCGCAATGCCTTGCGCGAAAAGGCTGCTGAGTTCCTCGCTGCCCATGGCGAAATCTCCTACACCTACGAAGAGGAACGCGCCGTCCTGCGTCGCATCAACTGGCGTGTTCTGCCCATTCTTCTCGGCAGTTACTTCTTTCAGCAGCTCGACAAGAGCTCGCTCAGCTATGTGTCCATCTTTGGCATCATTGAAGATGCCAATCTGGTCGGCCGCCAGTACTCCTGGCTTAGCAGTATCCTGTACTTCGCCCAGCTCGTCTGGCAGCCTGCTGCAGCCTTCATCCTTGTCAAGCTGCCCTACGGAAAGGTCATCGCCGGCGCCGTGTTCCTCTGGGGCGTATCGCAGGCTATCATGGCAGCGCCCACAAACTTTGCTGGTCTGCTCGGCATGAGGTTTTGTTTGGGCACTTTCGAGGCCATGATTGCACCGAGCTGCGTTGCTGTGACGCAGATGTGGTGGAGGCGACAGGAGCAGACAATGGTGAGATGACTGCCTTAGCACACCTGTCCACTCGAGACTGACAATCCCGGCAGGTCACGTCTGCTTGGAGCGCCATGAATGGCCTCACCTTCATCATTGGGAGTCTGGCGACCTACGGCCTCGGCCATATCAAGAGCGATCGCTTGTACCGCTATCAGGTCATCTTCCTCTTCTGTGGCCTTCTCACGATTGTGTGGGCCGTCATTGTGCTCATACCCATGCCCGATTCCCCGATGGAGACCAAGTACCTACAGCAACGTGAAAAGCTCATCGCCGTCGAGCGACTGCGTGCCAACCAGATGGGTGTCGCCTCCCGCCAGTGGCGCTGGGACCATGCCATCGAAACCCTCCTCGATGTCAAGACTTGGTGCTGGTCCATATTGATATTGGCCATTTCCATCGCCAGTGGCGGCATCGGAACGTTTGGCAACCTGATTGTTCGCTCCTTTGGCTACACCGAGTTTCAGACCATCCTGTTCAACATTCCCTTTGGGGTCATTCAGATCATCGCCATCATGGGGACCGGTTGGATTGCAACACGCTTTCAACGCAAGGGGCTTGTCATCGCCGGAACTGCAGTCTTACCCATCATCGGCTCGGTACTCATGCTCACAGTGCCCCGCGAACAGAAGGCCGTGCTGCTCTTTGGCTATTATCTCGTCAGCTGCATGGCGGCCATCACGCCACTCGTCTACTCGTGGCAGGCGCAGAACACGGCGGGGGACACCAAGAAGAAGACGACAAGCGGCATGGTATTCGCTTTCATGTGCGTCGGCAATATCGTTGGTACGAGCATCGCCCCGGAAAAAGCCGATCACCTGAATAACTCGCTAACCGATACAGGACCGCTGATCTACCAGCCCAGCGACGCGCCCTTGTATCGCCCTGGCCTCATCTCCAACCTGATCATGTTTGTTCTCGTTGCGGCTCTAGGCATCACGATCCCATTCTATCTGATGTTTCTGAACAGGCGTCACGCTAAGCGCCGCGAAGAACTCGGAAAGAATGCCGTCGTTGTCGATGAGTCGATGATGCGCAACCGCAACATGGAGCAGAGCAAGGCTGTGGATATCGAGCTCGAAGAGGAAGGGCAGCAGAGACAGCAGAGGACCTTGCAGGAGGATAACGCGCTACATGATATGACGGATCTGAAGAATGAGGATTTTATCTATGTGTACTGAGTGCCGACAAAACGTGGACTCGGATTGATAGGAGGAATAAGATACATATCTTGTTAGAGGCTTACATCTTGTCATGCTTGTTATCTGAGGTAGTGCCTTGTCTGGTACCCGACAAGCCGTCAACATGATGCGAAATCAAAGTTCAACCGCCAGCACATTTATGATCCGTGTCAAGCGTATAATTTGATGGCGATTCAGGTACTTTCCGGCACATGTTTGGGAAAACCTTACGCGCGGTGCTCACAGATCCCGCGAGTACTACTTCGTGCCATCCAATTCTCCCAGGCCATTTCATGCGCTCCACATGCACTGGGGTCATCTCATCCCTTTGAGGAGGCCTCATTCGGACCAAGGATCTAGCATCTCTCGCTAGTCTTTTGGAGGAAGCACCCACCCATGCCCGGGCAGAAGACATAGTGGCAGAAACCGCTCTGGCAGATGGAGGCTTACAAAGAATCAGCATAGCTTTTTGGAGTGCTTTAAAACATCGCATGGCTTACCACCGCTGCAGGCGCGGCCGCTGGACCACGTCACGCGCAACAAGGGCGTCGTGAACCTCGGTGATGCTGGCGCTGTTTGCCTCGGGGGCAGGC